ACACACACACACTATCATCATCACATCACCTTTAATAACACACACACACACACACACCTCTCTCTCTCACACACACAAACACACCCCTCTCTCACACACACACAAACACACCCCTCTCTCACACACACACACACACACACACACACACACACACACACACACACACACACACACACACACACACACACTGTTATCATCACATCACCTTTAATAACACACACACACACACCTCTCTCTCACACACACACAAACACATCCCTCTCTCTCTCACACACACACACACACAGGCTTTGTCTCTGTGTTTATTTTTCTACCTGTGGGACTCGGCGCGAACCTGACGCGCACTTCCGGCCGGCTAGTGCACATCTGCCGCGAAACCCCGCGGAGGATCTTCATAACTCCGAGCTTCATTTAAACCGACTAATGTCAGACTGACGGAACATCTCTGCTCAACTTCCGGCGTCAGCACATTCAAAATAAAAGTCTCCGGCTACAGAGAGTAGTGATGTGCGGATCGATACTAAAATATCGAAATCTCCGATACCAGCTTTGTATGTTCTAGAATCGCTTATCTTATAAAAATATCGATATTTCAATATTTTTGGAGCAAATGTGTAGTTTTTGGAAACATAAATACTGTGGAAAGTAACCATAATTACCATAGTTTCTCTGAATAACGCCAACTTAGTCGGAACTACTTGTTCTTCCGCCAGCCAAGTCATGTGCGTAATATGGTACTGTTCAACTGCAGAGCACGCCAGCAAGCCTCTCAGTCCACTGAGCTGGCACATGTCGATCAGTCACGCGGTATTTGGATATGGGTGACCGCAAGCGAACTGTGTGTGTGGAGCTACTTCACTTCCATAAACTCCAACGATGCGGTTTGTGACACGTGTAACAAAACAGCGAGGTACTGTGGTCATACCACAAACCTAATCAAGACAGAATATGACTACATCATGACTAGGTGGTCAGAAGAGGAGGAAAGGAGAGGCAGGTGCGGCTGGGGTGAGACAGACAGACAGACAGACATCGCCTTCAGAGTCATTAGCTGCTGCAGGCAGGCACCATACAGGAGCTGTAGTTAGGAACAGAGTTCCTGGCTGTGTTCTATTCCCACTTATTCCCCCTATGCCCAATTCATTAACAACACTAACATTAAAATTGGAATTACTTTTTAAAATAAAGCATTAAGCTCATCTCTCTTAGGTGTAATTTGCTTTCAAAGCATTTTTTCAGTTCAGTTTTAGATCTTTATGTTTACAGTTGTGCACTGCGCCCTTCACAGTGCACTTTGAAAACATTGATGCCATTTGGAACACAGTCGTGGCCCACTGATGAATGCAATAGTTGACCTATTATTTAAAACAGAATATATGTTATGTCTCCAAAGCTTGTGAAAACAAATAACATAGCATATGCTAACGCTTTTAATTTAAAGTGGGTTATTTATTGAGTATCTGTTCTGTAAACGACATGGGCCTGTTGGTTAAAACCTTCTGCAGTGGTTTACATGCGTAAAATTGTAAAAGTAGACTTTTCAACAAAATTAAATAAACAATATTCTACTTAATAATAATGATAATAATAATAACATTAATCATCATCATCATCATCATTAATATTATTAATATCATTAAAGTCAGATTTTTTTTCATTTCCTAAAAATTATTAAATATTCAGTTTAATTTCTTAATAAATCGCCTAATTTTTCATTTATTTATGATTTATAAATGAGATTAGAATGCGTGTTGGCTTGTGTTAGTGATTTTATGTTTTAGAATAGGATAAGTAATGTTCTCTATAATATTTGTAAAGGAAACATTGGTCCTGTATGAGCTGTTTGCATATATACGTGAGTCTGAGTTCATTGTTTTCTTAAAGGTATAGTTCACCCAGAAATGAGTGGTTTCAAACCTATGAGTTTCTCTCTTCTGTCAAACACCAAAGAAGATATTCTGAAGAAAGCCGATATCCAGCAACCATTGATGCCCATAGGAGAAAAAACAAATACTATAGAAGTCAACGGTTACAGGTTTCTGACATTTTTGGAAGATATCATCTTTAGTTTAAAAGAATCCCATAATGGTTTAAAACAACTAAGCCTTAAATTCCTGTCCTCATGAGCCGGTCAGGTGCCGGTTGACGCTGCGTGTTCAGCTCCTCAGCTCTGCACACTGAACTCCTTAATCCCTAGACTTGTAACAGAGCACTGATTTCATTTACTTATATGACTTACATGTTAGTTTTATTATTATTGGATGTATATTATTGTTAGTTATATTTTGTTATATCCTTTTATCTAATCCTGTATTAAATAAAAATTTATTAGAGTCCTAAATCCTATACGGTCATAATTAAACTCATACCCCAGTAGCTATCCTATATCTTTATCTTCCTTTCCTTTCTCCTTAAGATATTCAATCTGTTCCTTTCTTTCTTCTCCATATTTTAAACATTCATAAATTACATGCTGGATTGTTTCTTTTACATAAAGGATCCACATAATCCATTCTCATGTACACCAATTGAAAACAGTGAATCATTCAGTCCGGTATGCCCCGTCTCAGTCTGGTAATTATCCCCTCTTCCCTCCTCTTCTTTCCATAATTACCCATTTTAGTGTCCACATTCTTTTGATTTTATACAGATCTCTTCCCTTCAAATCTGTATTCCATACTCTTTGCCAATGTGCTGTCGCATTTTCCTCAATAATACTTTTAATTTCTCCTTTACTTAATGGAACATTAATGTCTTTTTCTTTTCTTTGCATTTTTAGCTAATTCATCACTTATTTTATTTCCCACCACCCCTATATGTGCTGGAATCCAACAAAACCCAACTAGACTTCCTTCCCTTTGGATTCTCCATAATAATGTAAATACTTCATTCATTAAATCTTCTCTGGATGACTGACTGCTGTCTAATGATTTTAATACTGAAGCAGAGTCTGAGCAAATCACCTCTGTCTGGTGTCACTCCCTCTGTCCACATAAGTCCCACAATGATAGCAACCATTTCAACAGAATACATCGACAGTTCTGATGTTGTTCTTTTTTCTTATTAAAAAAA